AAAATGAAATGAAACACACATGATGAACATTCAACTAACAACAAAAATGACATTCACGTGATTCTATTATTTCTACATTTGTCAATCGACTTTTCATTATGAGTGACATATATATAAATATCAAAGAAAGACCACACACAAAAATGCTAATCTTGCAGTTTGATAGAAAAACTTCACAGGTAAAACCCCACCCCCTATTTGTCTCAACATATTCCATAACCATTGAAATTATTTAAGTGTCTGACAGAATGATAATAACTTTTGATTAGAAACCAGTTTTTTTTCTCTCTATAATATGAGATATTATGGATTTGGATGATGAAAGATTCATGAAAGATGACCAATTTAATATTGACATTTTATTACCAGTTATAGTATTAGATTATGCATCCTTGAAATATGAGAGGAGTTTTTAAATGTTGCTTAATCATGGTTTACTATTGTTTAGCAAAACGTTTATTCTAATGACCTCAAAAGTCTATGAACTTTTTTCAATGATATTCTATTTAAACTTGTTAAAGTTAATTAATATTCCCTCAGAAACGATTTATTATCCAAAATTGTTTGAAGATATAAGAAACAATTAAATAAAACTTTAATAAATTCTACGAAAAAAACATATTGATCGTCAATGCAATTGTATTTTTTATTTATTTTAACACAGACATTGATACAGGGAAGCACCAAATAGATAAATACATAAATCATTCGGTTTGTGTGAGGGCTGTGGTACTGCTCGAACGCCCAAACATAAGCAGGTGGTTTTCTTAGGGGATCATATCCGGAGCCTATTACCTAAAGGTTTGATCCACAAGGCAGTGGAGCAACGTCAGGAGATTCAGTCACATGATAATCGATGACCATCAATTAGTTAATACGCCATGTGTTCCTTCAGGATCCTGGAGCCCATGTGCACCATTGGTTTGGAATCGGGGTTTGACAACTCTCCTAGTTGGACCCTCCACATCCACCAACCCGGTTAAAGCTCCGGACATTCGCTTTTCGTTCTCTCGATTTCGTAAACAACAGTAATGCTGTGAGAAGGCAGTATATAGGACTTCCCTGGCAGTAGTTGTATGCACGTGTTCATGTTAGAGCATTTCGAGAGGGAGCGCTGACTCTCCCCACTCTGACGTACCAGGGCATTTGGAAGCTTGCAATTCAATTTTAATGTGAACGGTCAGCTTTTTTCGATTGTATTTTAATTCAAAATCAAATAACTATTAAGTATCTCAATTTTGAAAGTGAATAACTGAAATTTTCTAGAAATCGATGTCACTCATTTTGGTTAACCTGTTTATTATGAATTCGGTTTTTGTTTATGCTACAGAAAAAAAAACACTTGACAATAAATTCATATAATTGTATTCATCATTAAAGAAGCACAGAATCCATTTAGAATTCAATTTAGTTTATGAAAGTTCATACGATGAACTGAAACACTGAACAGGTGTTTTGGGCTAGTTGATGATGACCAACTTCGTAAAGAATTATACTTTAAAAAATCTCTTTCATGTTTCTAAAATACCACTGATTCGAAGTGCAACAACCAATGACCAATGAATAAATGAATAACAGACTTTATTTTAGATATTACTGAAGTTCATTCATTATTGAGTACTTTAACACTTATGATAATGATCTAATGAAATGTAGAAATATTAATCAGTTGTATTAATGTTTATTTTATTTATCTTCTAAATAGTCTTTCATAAGGATGATTATGTAAGACTCCGCTTCCAGCTGAAGAGGAAATTAGGAAAAGATGATGGAAATGGATAGGACATACATTACGAAATCACCAAACTGCATCATGGGGCAAGCCCTAACTTGGAATCCTGAAGGGAAGCGGAAAAGAGGAAGGCCAAAGAACACATTACGTTGAGAAATAGAAGCAGATATGAAAAGGATGAATAACAACTGGAAAGAGCTGGAAAGGATTGCACAAGATAGGGTTGGGTGGAGAGTGCTGGTGAGCGGCCTATGCTTCTCCACGAGGAGTAACAGGCGTAAGTAAGTACGTATATTTCAATTAAGAAATGAAGTCATCAAATTCAGCGTCGCACTTGTATTGATTTTGAAAAACGGACTTCATTGAGTCTTAACAAATTAAAAACAAAACAGTGAAGAATTTTTATCTTCTATGGATTGTAATATAATTGCTATTGTTTTCTGAAGAATAATTAATAATTTCTAAGGGAATGATCATTTGATTGTTATAGGAAACTACTTAGTAATTTTAGATATTCATATAAATTCTATGTGTTACCATAAACATAATTTCAATGTCAAATATTTAGTGTGTATTAATAGTTCAGTACTAAAACCGAAACAATTTCTAACAGTTCTAGCTTTAAATCATATCCTATGATACCATCCAAATAAGAAGACATGGCAGAAACTCGCTGAATATAGAGTTTTATACCACTGATTAGTTGAGATTAAAATTAGTCAAAAATCACTTGTCGATAAAGCAAATCAACTGTATTATACTAGTCTCAAGAGCTTTAGGTTTATCATTCAATTTGATATGTAGTCATCGAGGAGGCTTAGACTAATATTAAACACTTCTCCATACTTCAGGATGATATTACACATATAAGCGCAGTTGACGTTAAGGCGAATAATCTATAGTATTTTTTATCAGAGTTTGGGTAAATTTAGTCAGGAATGCTAACAATAGAGTAATAAACTGAAGTGTACCGATTTGTCTTACTAATCTTTATCAGCGAAATTCATTCGGTAAAAACTAACTTGTTGTCTTTACGGTTTTGTATCCGAATCAGTCATAAAAAGAAACAAATGAGATTACAGCAACAGTTTATAGGAAGTGTACAAGTCTAGAATCCAGAAAGTTTTAGACATTTGACTAGATAGAAGTAGATTATTGTCATCGAAATTTTGCTTGAGTAGAACATTTCAGAAATAGAAAATCTGTGAAATTATCTCATAATCATGGTTTTCAATGCTACATAAGAAAGACAGTTTTTGCTAATAGTTCTCTCATTAGAAACCGATCTCATACTAATTAAGCATTAGTGCTGATCGAAGCATATCGACCGAATTGGAACATGAATACTGAGTTGAGTAGCTTAACGAAACAGTACACCTTATTTGATATCAGACAGTTCCAATTAGTGGACTTATTCTCAACAAATGAGGTAGCTAGTGTTGTATATATATTCCTTTTACCATAAGCTTTCATTTGGCCCACTGACCACTGTTACATCGTTTACTTTTCCTGATTTATTCCTAATATATTACTAACAGTCTTCACTTCTCTCAAACAATTTCTGACTTGATCATGTCTAATTGTTATTTCTTATTTTATGGTGTGATCCAGGTTGGTCTCCTTGTATTTAAACTACGTATATCTAGAATGTAAGGACGATCTTGGACTGGTCATCATTGATCTTGTGTCCTTCCTTTTTGTTCAGGTCTAGTTAGTATTCGGCCAGCCATAAAGCACATAGAATTAATCTTCGATGAGACTGCAATATATGGACGACCTTGAAAGAACTCTGAAAGGACCTTGAAAAGGTCTGCCTACTAACTAGGACTAAATGAGGGTTATAAAGCAATGTGAGGAATTATAGTTATGATTTACAGTTGATAATTAGGGTTAGGGACTAGGTTTATTGTTTTCATCACGAACTGACATCAGCTATGATGTCGAACTAGTATTTAGCCAAATGTGTGTATGGATTTCGCGCTAAAATCCAAGACCTGATATCTTAGATCCGATCGGTTCTTCCATAAATTGAGGTCGCGCCTAATCTTTTCACCATTATTGAGTATTGGTTACTGACAGTCGTCTATGAGTATTTGCCGGTGTTATAACATAATAATTGACACTATTCAATAGACACGAATAGTAAAATAGCGATGGTGATGTAGAGCAAATTAACAATATTCATAAGTTACAGATATAGTAATGTAGCTAACACCTTCTTTCATGTTATATGGGTGAACTGAGGAATACAGTAAGGTGAACAAAACAATATTATTTATGTATGTGAAAGCGACGAAAAAATACGGGAAAAATATCTTGTTCCTAGTATCTCACCAGATTGTTGATCAAAATGCATTAACCCTAAGAGCAAATTATGCGGATAGTTACTGTAATGAAAGCGATTGTAAAACATTTACTTGAATACAAGAGTCGGTTTTTAATAACAGTTATTTATCGACATAGCTGTGCTCAGTGGCTTAAATGTGTTTTTGTAACTCATCTATCGAGCCATAAAGTATAATGTTTTTAATGACCTTCTAATGGTTTTCACTTGATAATTCTAACAGTGGTGCTTGAATATTTGATAATCGTCATGTCTAATTATGTGTATTTTATAAATAGGTTTTGATGAAACTATCAAACTTGCAAATAAACATGGAATCAGGCCACACATTTAAACCTAATGTTTGGAGAATGTACCACACAGGACTGTTGTACTACATTGTTCAATAGCTCTCTCTAGGACATCGATCTATTTTCAATGGGAGCTTCAAAATATATAGTTTTGCATACTGCCGTCGTTCATTTTGTTTTTACTTTGACGTGACGCGAGTTTTTCAAACAAACACTATAATTCTAGAGTTTGTATGACCTGTGTGGTATTTACAAATGTTATAATATGGTTAAAAAAATCATATATAAAATTAATACATCGGCTAAAATCCAGTGAATAAATACCCACTCCCAAGGTTGTGTTTCACGAGCAAATTGCTTAGTAAGAAACATAGTGAGTCTATTATCATTTCAAATACAGAACAAAATAAATGTTCAGTGTTCCACAGTCTGTAATGATTAATTCGTTTCTGACTATGTAATTAGTAAATCACTTGGCTACCTAAAACTAATTCAAGAAAGCTCAATATTAACTTAGTTGTATCTAGAATGACCATCTGAAAAAATAGTCATTTTAACGACACTTAGTAGGCCGATGAATTAATATACAATATGTGCTTTACATAGTAAGTGAATTATGTTATGGCAAACTTACTATCACACATTTGTCCAACACGTTTTTCCATTTCTTTCACTTTAGTTTCACTTTGCAGAACATCTCCTTGTAATGTAATTTCACTTGAATTATCTGAATGTGTAGAAAATTTCTTCAGGGAACTCGGTTCGGTAATACGTATATGCATAACAATACGTTTGACCATACTTTGTAAATGCTTAAATCGTCTTAGAGGATCTAATGAGCGACTTGTTTCATAATCTGCTTGCAATTGTCCCAATATTTTACGTACTTGTTTCCATTCACTAGTTAGGCTGTCATTTTCTATTTTAAGACGTTTAAATTCAGTTCTTGCAGGATCTTCTAGTACAGCCATAATGACTTCACGTGCTTTTGCCCGATCGATGCTAAATAGCGTAGACATACGACGTAATTTTTCCGATGGAAAAGACGTAGTTGCTTCGTTAGATGAACTGATGGTTGTTGTGTTATTGCATAATGATTTTCTACTAAGTGGAGGAACTAATGATGATTTTTGTGTAACTGGAGTCACTGATGTACGACGTGGTATTTTAATAATATTATTATTACTGTTCCCTGAAGATGAGCACATACTTCCTGTACGTGTAGATAAATTACCTTCATGCATTATGATAGTTCACGATGTTCACTTGTATCATTGAATAAATATAGTTAATGAAATATTGGTAAGGTCGTTAGGTGAGTATTTCTTGAGTATACAACAAACACTGACCAATGAATGGATTAAAACTACTGTACAGGTATTCTTATTAGGCTACGAAAAATCCATTACTTTGACCAATCATAGTCCTGTTTTATGTAACAAGTAATATCTATTTCTATCCCATGAAATAAGTAAGCAGAGTCGTATAAAAGTAATTTTATGGATAAGATGTGTTAAGTAATTCAGATTAACGCCAGATCAATAATCATAATCACACAACTATACATACTCTATTTATTTAGGAGCGGAATAGGAGAGAGATCATTACTTTACCAACACCTCCAGAGAACATGTGCTTAATGTTAATAATAAGACAGAAAATCATGATGCAGTTGATAGTAGACACAAAAGTGAAACAATTAAAATGATGATATCAATGGAAAAGGTAACAACAGATCTATGCAGTATGCAAATTGTGAGAATTTTTGTATACTTAGACAACTTGATTAGTAGATAACTAACAACAAACATTAATAATAATTATGAGCAATGAAATTTTATAGGTAGAATCATAATTGAATTATGACAAGTAGGAATGTCAAACTATAAGGTGGGTGTGTTTGAACATCCATAATCTAATTCTTAGTGTTGATATATAACAGTTCCTTAATTTAAAGAAATGATTTCAAACTTGCATAAAGCCATAGCTAGAAATAAATAACACAGTTTATTTAAACGTATGTATAAACGTCGATTTGTTCTGGCCTGTTTCACTTATCTTGATTAAACTAATTTATATTTAATATCAGATGGGTTTTGTGGATATCATAGTAATTTCAGCGGTTAGGATCATGAGTCAGTTGAAGCTAGACCACCATGGAAAACTTGAAAGCACTGGACGGCCGTTTCGTTCTAGTATGGAGATCCTCAGAAGTGAGCATCCACGATCCCCCAACCGAAGCTGCTACCTTGACGTGGTGGTCGGGCTGGCCTATCGTGATGAACCAATCGAGCTATACTGGCTGAAACAATCGTTCCTCAAGGTCCTACCATGTCAAACAGGTCGGTTGAAGAGCAGTAAAACTAAAAGCAGTAAACCCAAGGTCTGAGGGCGAAGTCGTACTGCTGACTGTACAGAAGTGTGACAGCAGTAAAGTGTTCCCCTCGGACAACCAGCATCTGCAGCGATGCTGCCTTCCCACAAGGAGGGGTGAGGTTAGAAAAGGTCGACCCTAAAAATGTCACACCTCACCTTACCTCACGGATTTCCATCTCCGGAGGTAAGGCCCTTTGAAGAACGGAGCTAACACATTAAAAACCTAACACGAAAAGGCCGTGCGCCACCGGCCCCAAGCAGTTGTCCCTTGGGCTCTGCGGTCACGCTCCCAGGTCGTCAAGACCAACACTAATCCAATTTCCTTTTCAGGTTCCTCAAGAAATACCCTTCCACGGTGTGGGCAGCCGGGAAGTGACATCAGCCCTCATACCCGTAACAGCACACGAGACCAAGTTGGCCACATTCAAATCCTTCCTACACCTCCTAATACCTCTCTTATCTCCATGACTAACCCTCCTCACGTTTCTTTATCATCTCGCACCGCTAGGGCAAACGTTTTGAGTACGCGGAACACTATTCCTGGTCTCCTGAAACCACGCTCTAAACTACAGTTAGGAGCTTTTAACGTCCGAACACTGTGCCAAATAGGACAACAGGCTTTCTTAGCTAGGACTTTAGAATCCCGCGCCATCGATGTGTGCTGCATCTCCGAAACGCGCATACAGGATCCGAGTAGCGTCATTCATCTGACCTCACTATGCCTAAATAAAGAACCGACTCGATTTACGCTTCGTGTATCTGGAAGCCCTGATTCTGTTTTCCGTGGCCTCGCCGGCGTAGGTATAGCATTAAGTCCTAGGGCAGAACTAGCTCTCTTAGACTGAATTCCAGTAGACAGTCGTTTGTGCGCTGTCCAACTGAACGGAACAGTAAGGATCCCAAAAGATAGGGACCCTCGTCGTTGCCTCTTCGTCGTTTTTGCCTATTCTCCCACTGACTGCAGCGCAGATGATGTAACAGATGAGTTTTACAGAAAGCTTTCCGACCTTCACCGAAAAGCTGGGCGCCCTGATAAAGTAATAATGGCTGGTGACTTCAATGCTCAAGTAGATAAACTAAGCGAAAAGGAAGGATACTTGGGTGGATCTTATGGTGGCGTGGCTCAAAGAACATATAATGGCGACCGTCTGTTGCAGCTATGCTCAGGTAACTGCATGTTCCTTGCAAATGCTCGGAAACTCATTCCACCTGGTTCTGAACATAATGAAGAGCGAAGTCAGCCTAAGCGCAAGCTGACAAGAAGTCTACGCAATGATAGTGAACAGTGGTGGGTAGCGAAAGCAAGAGAGATGGAAAAGGCAGAGGCAATAGGTAATAGCAGACAATTGTTCAGACTTGTTAAGGAAACCGGTATTAGGAAACCGACTGTTAGCGAAACACTCTCAGAGAAAGCTGGACATATTATACATTCTCAATCCAGGAGATTGGATCGATGGGCAGAACACTTTAGGGATCAGTTCAACTGGCGTTCAGCCACGCTTCGGTTTCACACGATCTCCAGTCAACCTGAATGGCAAGTTAATGTAGGTTCTCCGTCTCTTTACGAAGTTGAAAAAGCCATAAGAAATCTGAAGGGAGAGAGAGCAGCAGGCCCTGACAGGCTTACTCCTGAGATTTTTAAGGATGGTGGTTCAGTATTAGCAGTGGGATTAACTGAGGTCTTAGGTAGAATTTGGGAACCTGACGTAATTCCATCTGATTGGTCTCAATCACTGATTGTGCCAGTCCATGAGAAAGGACAAAAGTCCTCTTATGATAATCACAGAGGAATCAGTTTGACTAATATAGTGTCTAAAATATTAGCTTCAACAATACTTCAACTTCTAACAAAAGCTCGTGAAGAACAGACTAGAGAAAACCAGACTGGTTTTCGACCTGGACGTAGTTGTATAGATCAGATATTCACACTACGTCAGGTTCTAGAACACAGACGCACACAATCGTAGTATTTCTCGACCTCAAGGCGGCATTTGACTCTGTTGATCGTGAGGTTCTATGGCAGTGTTTGTCACTGAAAGTAGTACCAAAGAAGTACATTACCTTATAAAGGCTCTCTACTCGAACACAACTGGTCAAGTGAGAGCTTATGGCGAACTGTCATCATAATTGATTACCTCAAGTGGTGTTCGTCAGGGCTGTACACTCTCCCCATTCTTGTTCAACTTTGTGGTCGACGTACTTTTAGAGATAACACTCTCCTCATCTAAATTTCCAGGGGTTGTACTTCTACCGGGAGATTCACTTGTTGACTTAGAATATGCTGATGACATAGTTTTATTTGGTGAAGACGCTGACAAAATGCAGAGTCTTCTGACCACTCTAAGCAACAATGCAAGTATGTTCGGGATGCGATTCTCTCCCTCGAAATGCAAAATGTTGCTTCAGGATTGGGTTACATCCACACCCGAACAAGTAATAGGGAGTGAAGTAATTGAGCGTGTCGATCGCTTCACTTATCTTCGAAGTCTCATCAGCCCTTGTGGTCTGGTGTGTGGCGAAATCTCGGCACGTATACAGGAGGCTCGACTAGCTTTTACCAACTTGCGTCATTTATGGCGTAGGCGAGATATCCGTCTATCAACCAAAGGACGTGTTTACTGCGCAGCAGTTCGTTCCGTCCTTCTTTATGGCAGTGAAACATGGCCTGTAAGAGTAGAGGATATTCGTAGGTTACTAGTATTTGATCATAGGTGTCTTCGAAATATTGCTCGTATATCCTGGAACCATCGAGTAAGTAATGCAGTTGTTAGGAAAAGGGTACTAGGTAAGGATAGCAAATCAATTGATGACGTAGTGAAACTTCATCAGTTGAGATGGCTGGGACACGTGTTACGTATGCCCAACCACCGACTGCCTCGATGTGCGATGTATTGTTGTATAGGAGTAGGTTGGAAGAAAGCTAGGGGCGGCCAGACCAAAACATGGCACAAGTCCATGAAGTCACTGACAAGTGAACTGAGTCATATTGGTAGGTGTAGACTACCTGGTTGGGGACCGCGAAATGATAACAACCGATGGTTAGAAACCCTGAATGATATGGCTCAAAATCGTTTTCAATGGCGCAGGTACATCCACTCTTTGTGTTCTCCCAAATCCTAATCTTCTGAATTCTTCATGTCACTTTCTTTTTTCTCTTTCCAAATTTATTTCACTGGATTGTAGTTCTTGAATAATATCTTCAAACCCTAATCTTTCCGAATACTGCTAATACTCTTAACGTCTCTACAACTACGGGATTTGAATGGACAACTGCATCTCAGTGTTAATGTGGTGTGGCAACTCGAACTGATGTATGTACGTACTAAGTTCTACGTTGTTACTAACTGACTGACATCCACGATCCCGCCTCGCGAGATTCGAACCCATGACTTATCTGTCTCACGCACGAGCGCTTAAACACTAGACCAGTGAGCCGGAGTCCAACGGTGCTAATGTCTAACTTCAACCAATCCACGAAATAATGCGGCCATCTCGCATTGTACTTAGGCAGATACCTGTTTCTACCTGACATGAATTGGCTCCACTGGTCATGGCTTCTCCAAGGAAGTTTTAGTTATGGTGAACTAACCATACCAAAAAATCTTATATTCTTGATTATTGCATACAACTAGATGATTTGGACTTCGCAGTCCACCTCGCCCTTCTTTTCCATACACACCAACAAATTCAGGTAAAGACAGTTGGTGTAGCATCAGCTTCTGGAGCAATTAGCCTCAACTTTCACAAGGGAAGAGCAGGATCCTCAAATACAACACAGACAGAACAGATTCAAATATACTTGATGGAGAAGTTGTGGAAGTGGTGGAAAGATTTCGTACTTGGACAGCATGATCGATAAACAAAGAAG